TAAGCTTGGTGAGATTGTATCCGGAAGACTATGAAAACAATCAACATAATTTTAATTTCTAACTTATTTTAAAAAAATATATTCAAAAATATAATATCTTACCAGGCGAATAGCGGCGTTTGCCATATATGAGATATATTAAATCCACTATCATATCGTAATCTACAAATTGTGGCATTGCGTTCTTCGTAACGAACCCATGGAGACAGAAATTATTAAGAATATCGAGGCACTCGTCATTTCCATTAGCAGCTGCAATAGTTATAGCGCTCTCATGGCATTCGTTCACGATATTTGGATTGGCACCCATGAACAGCAGCAATCGCAGATGATGCACTCTGCCCAGTTGGGCAGATATATAGAGCGCTGTTTTCCCAGTAACTGAGTGCTGATAGTCCACTGGCACCATTTCGTAGTTGATTGCGTAGAGCAATGGACGTATGGCCACATCTGTGCCAATTTCCTCGTATGCCTGCAGACATTTATCCAATTGAATATTCCTCTGATTTTTATTTCTAAACATTTGTCGTTGATTTTTGTAAATCTCCGGACCTTTATCAATAGTCTCTGTGGAAAGGCTCTGCTGGATGTCTTCCAAATATGAAATGTTGAGCTTAATCAAATTTGAGGTCTTTATAAAAAAATGTGAGCCTTCACCAAAATAATTCACAAATTGCTTAGCGTCGCCTGCCTGCGATAGCAATATGATTCTCAGATCTCGTTCCATTAATAATGCTTGCTTTAACTCATAAAGCAAAATGTCAGTATATGGAGCGTGCAGATGCACATCATTTACAATAAAATATGAAATTTTATTAAATCTATTTTTGGAGCTCTTGTTAAACAAAGTGCGTAGAAAGTATTGGGCAGTCGTGTAGACAACTTGCGCTCCAGAGCAATTGGTATTGTGCTGTGGCAGCTGGATTCCCACAGTTTCTCCAATATTTTCGCCCAAGCATTCGGCGAAACGTTCACAGTTATACATCGCTACAATTTCCTCTTCTTCGATACAAATTATATGATCGTTCTTATTCTGCGATTCGATATCCTTTAAAATTATTAACGGAAATAATGTGGATTTATCCAAGGAAAGATTGCCATCGAACACGGTCACGCGATGAGTATTAATTAAATCAAGGATCTCGGTGGAGCGCGAGTTATTTAAAGCATTTGTAAAGCGCGTGCTGGATTTGTTCCTTGCAGCTGATTGCCTCAGACCTGGAAACGATATATAAATCGATGGTGCTTGAACAGTCCAGCGGTTGGACACGCAATCTTCATCCTTTTCCCCGACGCCTATACGTGCAAATAATGTAAACATACTCATTACACTCGATGGCGTCAAAGTCAACGATTTTGGCTCTTCCAAGTAATGATTGCATGTTTGCCTATAAACCTTCACACATTCCTGTCCATGCCTTAAAACCAACTGTGATCGCAGACCCAGCTCACGCGCTGCATTTATAAGTACAGAGTTATCACACGTCCGGAATGTGCAAGAAAATTGTTGGCAGCACCGACGACCAGCAATAAAATATAGTAATTGCTGTGGAATAAACTTGCTTTGTATCGTTTTATCCATTTCTGATCTACTGATCCTCGACTGTTCGAAATTTCACCGCACACCGTATATGTATATGTAACTTGCTTCTACATGTTCACTAATATCCAACCATTTCTTAGAAATTTTCCCTGAACACTGAAAATCATCTGCTTGTCCGTTAAAGTCAAATCTCTATAATCTATTCGGAACAACGGAATGAAACAGAAAAGTGTACGCACAACTTTTTCGATTACTTTTAGCCGTTTGTGATGAATATTTTCAATTCATATTTGATAATAAAATTATTATTATTATATATATTATTATTAAATTATTTCCATTGAATTGAGAGAAGTAATTATTTACAAACATATAATATTTTTATAAGCTTGCATATGCTCTTAAAATTTATATAAAATTTTTGCATATACATACATTATTTCATATTTAGTAAGTTTATGCAAGTAAAACTAAGTAATTAGACCTTTTAAAGCAATGTCTGCACATCCATTGAGGTGAGGAGGAACGATGCGAAAACCGCATCAGAATGCGTTCACATTTCTGACCACTAAAAGCAATTATCGCCTGCCGATGAAACTCGACAATTAATCGGTATACGATCAAGATTTTTGTGCGTAGCTGCTCCAAATTACTTTCTTTACAGTTTGCTTACTTTGTGTTCCACTTCATTTTGCTTCCTCATAAATAACGCATTTGCCATACCACCGATAAAGTTATAAACATTAAGACAAATATTAAAATTTAGTTTTTGAATTAAAACTGATTTAATTCGATATTAATCGTACCATAATGGTAAAGAGCTTTACAGTTAGTTATTTATTTAGAGAAAATTTGATTTGTCCACAGAGTTTTGAGAGCCACTGCTTTGATTTGACCAGGAGTTACCATTCTGAAAAATATATATATATTGTTGATTAAGTATTGCTTGACATTGATCCACCAGGTATGCGCTTACCTGCTGATCATTAGAAGCTGAATTATCACCTTTGATCATACTGCCAGATCCGGAATTGTTTGGATTGTTTGGTCCTTTGCGGCTACCAGAGTTCATGTTAGAGTTAGAATGCCCTCCGTTGTTTTGAGCCATCCACGATAAAAAGTTGCCTCCCTGAGAAGTAACTGAAAGAGTTTTTTGTTTGAAACAATCATATTGTATAGAAGGCTTGCCTGCTGATCCTGGTTTTGATTTTGCAGCTGATTGCCAAGAAGGCTCCACTGATTCAACGCAGCAGCAACCAAAGCAGGGTTCATCGGCAATGAGTTTAAATTAAGTCCGACGCCTAAAGGGTTGTTCATGTTTTGCCCTTGATTTGAAGAGCTGGATCCTTGCGAATTTATGCCTAACGCTTGAAGGTTAGGCATGTCCAAATGTCCCCTGTTCATCCAACCGCTATTGCCTACGTTGCCATTGTGTGGCTGGTTCATGCCATGAAAATTATTCTGCCTATTATAGGGAATACCTGCATCTTGGCGGTTCATATTGCCACCACTATTATGATTACTACTATTCGTGTAACCCCCGCCCAAATTTCCACCATAATTATTATTGCTACCCATTCCGTAGCCACCACTGCCAATGTTGCTGTGACTATTGCCGATTGCAGTGTTATCACCTCCGTGTAGATTGTGTTGATTATTACCTCTATGATGTCCGCTACGGCCAGAGTTCATGTGATTCCCTTGTGGATGATACGAATGCATTCCAAAGTTATTTCCAGAATTATAGTTGTAGTTTTGGCCTTGATGGGTCCGGTTTTGCTCGGCCTTGGGGGCAGCATTGGAAACGTGAACCGATACCCCTAAAAGAGAATTCAACGATTAATAAACAATGCTTAACATATCAATAAAGTATTGTTTACCTTTAATTATATGATCTTCACCACACAGAGATTGTGCTACATCGGGATCAAGAAACGTGACAAAACTAAACGCCCGAAATGGTCGGGGAATAAAAACGTCGGTGACCTCGCCAAACTTTGAAAAGTATTCGCGGAGATCATCTGAGTTGATATCCTCTGTGCAACGACCAACAAATACTTTACACGGCACTTGATGGCCCATGCCCTGGAAATTAAATTAGATAATATATTAATAAGGTTTTCTCCTAATGTGAAATGTATTGACATTACCTTGGAATTGGGAACTTTGACTTCACACCATCTTCCATCGATCAGATGCCTATTTGCTAGAACCCGCATTTGCGCTTCATATGAACCGAAACGTACAAATCCGAATCCCTTTGACTGTCCCGACTTGACATCTTTTTTTATTTGCGCCATCAGCACTTCGCCATAGCTCTCAAAGTACTCCCGTAAACTGTCTTCGGTCGTTTTCCAGGCCAGTCCCAAAACAATCAAATCAGTGCATCGTAAACGGGTTTCAATTCGTTTTGTTTTTGCCGTTGAGTTTTCCAAGTTATCATCACTCTTACGTTTGTTCTCTATGGGAGGCAATATGGGGCGATAAGGACTGTCGAGCTGTTCGGCAGAGCTTCTGTTAATTTCAATACCTTTTGGAAACACACAAAAGTAGACGTATTCCCCCCAACCCGAGTCTACATTTGGTGGAAAAAGTCTGCCCTCATTTGAACGAACGCCACGCACAGCCTTCGAGTCCATATTCCTGTATTTGAGGCCGCACGAACCAGGAAACTGTGCCTGTAGCGTGGAAATTAACAATGTCCCATCCTCTTCAGCAGGCAGCTCGATAGGCTCATCACCCTCCTCCTCGGATACTTGTACGAAATCCATTTTGCGTTTTTCTCAAAAGTCTAAAAGATTGATAAGATTTTGCATATAATTTATATGATTCTTTAATATATATATTATTTAATTGTTATCTACGCCATCATTCAATCAACTCTGATATATACTTCATATACATGTAATCTCATTCTTAACAAACTTTCCTTGAAAAAAATAATAAATTCACTCACTCAGACAAATATATTGTTCACACATTGTTTTTGTATTTGCCTATTCAGTGTGTGTACTATATATAAAAAAAAAAAATTAAATATACTATAAAAATAGTGTCTTCAATTTTCTTGACTTCTTTAAAATTGTTTAAGATTTAAGTAATTATTCTGTCTTCTAAGCTCATATAAGTAAGATTTTCTATGTGTGTGCCTAAATATATAATTTTTTTTTTTTTTTTGCATAGAAAAAGAAAACTAAGTATATGACATTTAAAATTTTGATATTTTATATCTATTCTACTCAATTTATTTCTCAAGTTCCTCTGTTATTCTATGTGTCAAAATTTAATATTGCATTAGTTTTTTATTTTCATAAAAATTACAAAACTGGTTT